AGAACGAGCTAAAGTCGATCGTAAAGCAGACGCGCGACAAGATCAACCACCACGCCAAGCTGGTGGAGGACCTCAAGAAGGACGCCACCTCCGAGAAGGACCTGGGCAACAAGATCGAGGAGCACTCCTCCGAGCTGGAGCAGCTGCGCCTCCAGATCGACGAGCACAACAAGAAGTACTACGAGCTGAAGAAGACCAAGGACCACCACCAGACCATGCGCAACGAGCTGTGGCGCAAGGAGACCCAGATGACGCAGCAGCTGCAGACCCACAAGGAGGAGCTGTCGCGGGCGGACCAGGCCCTGCGCAGCATGGCCGGCAAGCCCATCCTGAACGGATGCGACTCGGTGCGCAAGGTGCTGGACAGCTTCGTGGAGCGCGGCGGGCAGTCGGCGGAGATAGCCCGCGCCTACTACGGACCCGTCATCGAGAACTTCAGCTGCGACAAGACCATCTACACGGCCGTGGAGGTGACGGCCGCCAACCGGCTGTTCCATCACATCGTCGAGTCGGAGTACGAGGGCACCCAGATCCTCAAGGAGATGAACAAGCTGAAGCTGCCCGGAGAGGTCACTTTCATGCCCCTGAACCGGCTGCAGGTGAAGATCCATGACTACCCCGACGACCCCGACTCCATACCGATGATATCCAAGCTGAAGTACGACGAGCAGCACGACAAGGCGCTGCGGTACATCTTCGGCAAGACCCTGATCTGCCGTAACCTGGAGCGCGCCACCGAGCTGGCGAAGAGCACGGGCCTGGACTGCGTCACCCTCGACGGTGACCAGGTGTCGTCGAAGGGCTCCCTCACCGGCGGCTACTTCAACACATCACGCTCCCGCCTGGAGATGCAGAAGAAGCGGACCGAGTACACCCAGCAGATAGCCGACTTCGAGAAGAAGCTGGGCAAGCTGCGCAACGAACTCAAGTCCACCGAGAACAACATCAACTCGATAGTCTCCGAGATGCAAAAGACGGAGACGAAGCAGGGCAAGTCGAAGGACGTGTTCGAGAAGGTGCAGGGCGAGATTCGGCTGATGAAGGAGGAGCTGCTGCGCATCGAGCAGTACCAGGCGCCCAAGGAGCGCTCCCTGGCCCAGTGCAAGGCCTCGCTGGAGTCGATGAACAGCACCAAGGCCAGCTTGGAGGCGGAGCTCAAGCAGGAGCTGATGTCGACGCTGTCGGTGCAGGATCAGCGCGAGATCGACCAGCTGAACGACGACATCCGGCGGCTGAACCAGGAGAACAAGGAGGCCTTCACCCAGCGCATGCAGTTCGAGGTGCGCAAAAACAAGCTGGACAACCTGCTGATCAACAATCTGTTCCGGCGACGCGACGAGCTGATCCAGGCCCTGCAGGAGATCTCTGTGGAGGATCGCAAACGCAAGCTGAACAACTGCAAGACGGAGCTGGTATCCGCCGAGAAGCGCATCAAGAAGGTCAACTCGGACCTCGAGGAGATCGAGAAGCGGGTGGGCGAGGCGACGCAGCTGCAGAAGGAGCTCCAGGCGGAGCTGGAGACGCACGTGCGCAAGGAGAAGGAGGCCGAGGAGAACATCAACAAGGACTCCAAGCAGCTCGAGAAGTGGACCACCAAGGAGAACATGCTGAACCAGAAGATAGACGAGTGCACCGAGAAGATAGCCAGTCTGGGTGCACTGCCCCAAGTGGACGCCGCCTACCAGCGCATGTCCCTCAAGAACATCTTCAAGGTGAGTCTTCCCCCACTTGGTCAGCTTAACTGATATCCTAACTTGTCCCCGTCCAATCCTCACAGGAACTGGAGAAAGCCAACCAGCATCTGAAGAAGTACAACCACGTGAACAAGAAGGCCCTGGACCAGTTCCTCAGCTTCTCCGAGCAAAAGGAGAAGCTCTACCGGCGCAAGGAGGAACTGGACATTGGCGACCAAAAGATCCACATGCTCATCCAGTCCCTCGAGATGCAGAAGGTGGAGGCCATACAGTTTACGTTCCGGCAGGTCGCCCAGAACTTTACGAAGGTCTTCAAGAAGCTGGTGCCCATGGGGGCTGGCTTCCTGATCCTTAGGACCAAGGACAACGACGGCGAGGAGATGGAGAAGGAGGTGGCCAACTCGGACGCCTTCACGGGCATCGGTATACGGGTCTCCTTCACCGGCGTCGAGGCCGAGATGCGAGAAATGAACCAACTATCCGGCGGCCAGAAGTCCCTGGTGGCCCTGGCCCTCATCTTTTCAATCCAGAAGTGTGATCCGGCTCCGTTCTATCTATTCGATGAGATCGATCAGGTGAGTAGTGCCCAGCTATGGTTGATGCTTTAATAGTAACACGTTGAATCCCCGCCAGGCGCTGGATGCCATGCACCGAAAGGCTGTGGCCGACATGATACACGAGCTGAGCGACACGGCCCAGTTTATTACCACCACCTTCCGGCCCGAGCTGCTGGAGAATGCCCACAAGTTCTATGGCGTTCGGTTCCGCAACAAGGTCAGTCACATCGACTGCGTCACTCGGGAGCAGGCCAAGGACTTTGTGGAGGACGACAACACCCACGCCTAAGAGGGATCCGTCTCTTGATGACCTATTCCTTCCCACTCTATTTCGGATCATCTTTTGTAGTGTCCAGTCCCTGAGATTTGTTTGTTTTTTTACATTCTCTCGTCACTCTTTGTTTCAACGAGGTTAATCCTCCCACTCTCGATTCATTTTTTGTAGTGTCAGTCCCCAAGATGGGTTCCACCGAGGTAATCCTCCCACTCTCGATTCATTTTTTGTAGTGTCAGTCCCCAAGATGGGTTCCATCGAGGTAATCCTCCCTTTCTTGGTTCATTTTTTGTAGTATCAGTCCCCAAGATATATACACTATTTCGATATATCTATGTATACACCATCACCATCATGTTTCTCGTGTCCCGTCAACCTCTGTTCCAACCAGGTCAACCCCTCCGCACACCCGCGGTTCTTTTTTTTTGTAGTGTCAATCCCTAAGATTCTGATTTTCTGTTTTTTTTTTAACATTCTTTCGATATATCTACTATATATACATCATGTGTCTAGTTTTAAGCCCAAAACTCGTAATCGTCCTAGCTACATTAATTTTCCTTAACCGTCGGGGGAGTCAGATAGTAACCTGCTCCGAGTCCCGACCTATAGCTAATATACAATATATTTAAAATAAAAGTGTGTACAATACAAAAATCATATCTGCTATTTTTTCATTCTATTTCTTTCGAAAGAGGTTTTTCCAATTTAAAAAAATTAATTACTTGTAGAGGATTACAAACATTTTTCAGTTTTATGGTCATTCTTAGTTGTGAAATTTTGAAAAAAGGTATTTTTGAATTTTTAAGTTTCTTTTCTTCAGTTTCTATATCTATTTTCTATATTCTATATATTATATATTTCTATATTATATATTTCATGGCCCATTTATTTTAATTGGAATTTAATTGAAAACCAATAATTTAATTTTTATTTTGAACTTTTTGAAAATATTCTTGCAATAATTGATTTGGAAAATTTTAAAAAGAGACTTCTTAAACTTTAATAAACTTAATAATCTTTATAGAACGCACATTTCCCCTTTTTTTCTTTAATCTTTAATTTTTAAAATTTTGGAGTAACTATTTTTAAATTTAAATACCTCTTTCTTTTCCTAGAATATACATTCTCCATTTTGAAAACCAACATTTTAAGTATTTTTCATAAATTTTAACTTAAATGGAAATGAAAACCATAAAGCTTCTTTCAAAACAAAATTAAATAAACATGTTTTTTAAGATTTTAAGTAAATTTAAAATACAACTGAATTTAAGCCTAAAACTTTATTCTTTTCTTAAACTTTTAAAAATATTCTGTGAAATAGATTTGAAAAACTTTAAAAAGAGAAATTTTTAAAGAGAATGGAATTTAAAAATTGCAATTGCTGTATTCCCTACACACGTTTTTAGTTTTTATGGATTAATTTTTAAGATTTTCTATAAATTAAAATTGTATTTAAAACCATGGAATTCATCATTTTCTTTTTAAACTTTTACAAAAACATTTTTAAAACATCTTTCGTTCGAAAGAGCATTTTTGAAAATTATTCAAACTTAATTTCTTTATATTTTATACACAATTATTAGGTTTATGGCAACAATTGTAAGTTTCTTTATAAATATTATATAATTAAGATACTGTAAATACCATTTGGAAGATTTGAAAATTTTCCACTCCTTTCGAAAGAGGTTTTTTTTTAAATTAAATAAACGGATTACTTTATATTTTAAACGCATTTTTAAGTTTTATTTTTCGCACAAAAATATCACTCAATTTATTACATCGCCATATATATATATATATCGCAAACATCGAATATAGTTGGCCGATCCTTATGAAAATATCATAATAAAATCAATTTATTAAAATAAAAAATCGAAAAACAGGTCCCAAGCTTCTCTCTTCAAAAATACTAAAGTGCGATCGTTCAGTTATATGGCAACTATAAGATATAGTCGGCCGATCCTTATTAAATTTGGAATGTCGTATTATTTTATTATGACCAAAAGTAGCATTCTTACAAAAACCGAGCTCTCTAACTCTAAAAACACCAAAGTTATAGAATTTCCGATCAATCTATGACAGCTATAGGATATAGTCAGTCGATCCTGGCTTTTCCCAAAGAAGGACGTGTGCAAAGTTTGAAGTCGATAGCTTTAATCCTGAGAGACTAGTTCGCGTAGAAACCGACAGACAGACGGACGGACATGGTCATATCTACTCAGGAGGTGATCCTGGTGAAGAATATATATGCTTCATAGGGTGGGAGATGTCTCCTTCACTGCGTTGAACTTTTTTGAACAAATTCTTAATACCCTCTGCAAGATAATAAAAATATAATCTACCAACAAATATCCATCCCAGTAAGCTCCGACATTTAATTCGTCCTAAAACTCACCTGTCTGGATGTGGTGTAGGGTAGAGCTCACTCTGATTTTGAAACTCGAACGAGAAAGCAAGAAAAAAAAGAGAATCGACATGGGAGCTGTTTTAGTAGAAATAATAAATGGACTTTTAAGCTCCAAAACGGATAAAATTCGACGGGCCACTGCAGCCTTGGCACGGGCCTTGGAGAATCCCGAGGCGATACTGGGCTTCTGCAACATTCTGGTCTCCTCCACCCAGACTGACATCCGGCAGTACGCTGCAGTGATCCTCAACAAGCGACTGTCGAAGCTGGGACATTGGCAGCTCCTAGGCCAGGAACTGCAAGGCCAGATCAAGCACATGATGCTCCAAGCCCTCATCGCCGAAGAGGCGAAGAAAGTGAGGAGTAGCATCGGTCAGGTAGTGGGCAGCCTGGTGCGCCACGAGGTGGATAAGACCGACTCTTGGGTGTCGGAGCTGCTGGAATTTGTTTTCAACAAGTGCGCTTCGTCGGAGTCCGTGGAGAGTGAACTGGGCTCCACCATATTCTGCACACTGGCCGACACAGCGCCGGACCAGTTCGTCCTTCAGCTTGAAAGAGTGTGCCAGCTTTTCGCCAGGGTAATGGTGGCGGCACATAGCCAGGGCCACATCGTCACCCCAACTATCAGTAACCTGGTTACCGGCATGAGCTACCTGATGCCCGTTATTGAGGGGCATCCAGAAGCGGTAAACACTGTGGCCGGGGTGATGTCGGAAATCCTTAACACCGTCCGAGCTTTCGCGTATACCAACGATGTTCAGGAGTTCATCTCGGTTTTTAGCATCCTGGAGAGCATGGCCGACCACGTGCCTCGGCTGCTGAAGGATGTTAGGCCCGTGTTGGATTGCTGCCTGGAGGTGGCCAGCAACAAGGAGTTGGAGGAGGGCATCCGCTCCGAGACCATTACCTTCGTGGCGCGCTTAGTGCTGCTTGAAGAAAAGAATGTGATCGAGCAGGGGCTGCTGGAGCCCATTCTAAAGGTTTCGTTTGAGATGATTTGCTGCTCCTCGGGCGACGACAACGAGGATTACTACACGACCGATGGTAGCAGCAGTGTGCTCTCCTCCGCTCTTCAGGCTCTGGATGTTTTGGCAGTGAACACTTCGGCAGAGGTGCTAATGCCGCCCCTCCTGCAGATCCTTGAAGAGGCCCTGGCACACCACGACCCGATTCGCCGCCGCGCTGGCTTCCTGACCTTGGCAGTCATGGCCGAGGGATGCGCCGCTACCATCGTGAAGCAGTTTCTGGAGCCGATGCTCCACACCATAAAGAGCGGGATAATCTGTCCATCGGCACTGGTGCGCAACGCGGCCTTCTTCGCTCTTGGGCAGTTCGCACAGCACCTGCAACCAGACATCTCTAGGTATGTGCCACCATATTCCAACACCTCGGCCAGCTGGTCACCGAGGTTACGATGGGCCATCCCGAGAATTTTTACGCCCTGGACACCTTCATCAAGCACCTGAAGGACGAGGTGAAGCCGCACTTGGCGCTGCTGATGGAGCGCCTCTCCGAAGCCTTGGTCGTCCAGACCGCCCCCAAGCTCTGTAACCTGGCCTTGTCCACCATAGCGTTAGTGGCTGCTGCTGCCAAGGGTGAGTTCACTCCGTATGTCCCCCGTGTGGTACCCATTATTCTGGAGCACATGCTGGCAGAGGAGGACCATCAACAGAACCGCCTGAAGGCAATGGAAATTCTGGCGATCATTGCCCGCTTCGTCGGGAAAGAGAGCTTCATGCCGCTGACCAACGACACCATGCTATTCTGCCTGTCGATTATGGAGCACAGGGCCGAGGATAGGGATATGCTCAGGCACGCGTACAACCTGATGGGAGCCATCTCCAACGTGGCCAACGAGGAAATGGGTGCTGTTTCCCCAAGATCATGAACCGCATTCTGGAATCGGTGCTCCCGAGGTCCGAGGAGGATGAAGAGATGCGGGAGAGCTCCGAACTGGACGAAGCGCAGCCGGAGGACGATGACCTCGTCGAGAAGGAGCAGGCCATTGTGGCGCTGAAGGAGTTCGCTGCCAACTCGGGAGCTGCTTTCGCTCCGTATCTTCATCCGGCGTTCGACTGCGTCCTTAAGGTAGTGGACAGCCCCTACGACTCCATTCGCAAGGCCGCGCTGGAGGCCCTGTCCCAGTTCGTGATCGCTCTGTACAAGATCGGGGATGCAGAGGGAGTTGCTCGCGCCAGCCTGGTGGTCGTACCCAAGTTGGCCCAAGTCGCTCGCGTCGACCAGGAGCAGTCGGTAATTATTGCCGCACTGGCAGCACTCGGAGAACTGTTGAAGGAAGTCAAGGGTGGCGTGGTGCCCACAATCGAGTTGCGAGGGATTATCTGCGAACTCATCAAGGACTTGATGACCATCAAGGCGGCTTGCCCAGACGGTGATGGAAATGGCGACGACGACAACGAGGAGGTGGAAGGCGGGGACGTTGTCATGGAGCATGCGGCCCAATTCCTCCCGCTCTTGGGCCTTGCCCTGGAGCCTGAGGAGTTCTCCGTCTACTTCGCACGACTCCATCTTCAGTATGTCCAGCACATCCCGAGAGATCCCATTGCCACTGACCATTGCTACATAATTTACGGCGCCTTGGCCGACTGCCTTCAGAGCCTGGGCACCTGGATCGGCCAATACTTCGACCACCTGTGCTCCGTGTTCATCCAGGGGACATCTCACCCAGACGCGCACGCCCGCAAAAAGGCATACTACGGCCTGGGCGAGCTGGTCTTGCATTCAGAGAGGAGGTCTTTCGCATCTTATCCGATCATCCTCCAATCCCTCTCGAATGCCATCGCCACGGAGAGGAACCCTTCTGCCCTGGACCACATTATAGCAGCTCTCGCCCGGCTATTGATCACCCACATGGAAGGTGTGCCTCTGGGTGAAGTCCTCCCAGCGTTCATGTCCTACCTGCCACTGCGCGAGGAGACGCGCGAGAACGTCTCGGTCCAAAAGGCGTTCCGGGTACTCTTCGCCAAGGCACGACCTGCCGTTGAGCCGTATCTGGAGCAGATGCTAGTCATCACCGTTCAAACGGTCCTCAGGAAGGAACTACCCGACTCCCAGTCTACCGAAGAGAGCGTCAACTTCATCAGGGAAATTGTACATCATTATCCTCCGTTTTTCCAAAAACTGTCTAGTTCCGAGGAGTGTGCGAATCTCATGCACTTGTTGTAACTGCAAGTTATAGAATGGAAGCTATCATCACTTTTTTTATCATCTTCGGCTTCGACTGAAGATAGGTTTCCTTTCTTCAAGATTTTTGCGTTCAAGAACCTTTCGTTTGAGAGTCTTTTCGGTTCAAGATTTTGTCAAAATTTCAAGTGCAAGTTTCAAACCAGCCAGCCTCGCATTCAGACCCTAATTTCTACTGGCAAGTATTACAAGTTCATAATCAGGATGACTGTCGAATCAACATTTTTTTTTTCAATTTCCAGATGAAGTTCAGGCCCGTCCTTGTCCTTGGACTCGTCCTGTGCGAGGGCAGCTTGTATCCAGTCAATGCGTTCTAGGACCTCTACATCCATCAGTTGAATATCGGCAGGAAACTTCTTGGTGCGCTCCAGCAAGTCGGCCACGAGGGCATCCCTCTTCTTGCGAACAGCTTCCATCTTGTCAATGCGATCTTGGACCTCCCGAGTCACCAGTTGAATGTATTGGATGTCCCCCTGACCTTCATGGTGTGCTCCTGGAATTCCGGGACGAGTTTGCGAGGTTGCATCAGGATTACCTTCGGCGACTCGTTGTTCGCCAGCTGACGAATAGTGACGAGCAGGTCCTGGGGCATCTATTGATCCATGTCTTCTTCTGCATCGAAATTATTTACTTGAGTTGGGAACACCAGAACGAAATCGAAAAGGGGAAACGTCTAACGATCCATCTTGCTTTTATTTCGAAAATTTTGTTATATATTTTTTAAATAAATTATTTCAATGGAAAATCTACAAAAAAAAGTCCCAGTTCTATATTCAATAATAGCGAAATCAGCAAACTCAGAAGCAACTTTCTCTATTCAAAACATTGCTATAATATCGATTTTAAATTTTTCGAAATTTTTCCAAGGGGTTCCCCTACAATATTGTGGGTTTTCCCAATTTCCACACTTTTGCTCCTTCCGATGGCCATAGCTCTGGTAATTTGTATCCGATCAGGAAATAAAGTACCATTTATGAATCAGCGAACCCAAGAGCGACTTTTCTCATTCAAAACATTGCTAAAATATTGATTTTAAATTTTTCGAAATTTTTCCAAGGGGTTCCCCTACAATATTGTGGGTTTTCCCAATTTCCACACTTTTGCTCCTTCCGATGGCCATAGCTCTGGTAATTTGTGTCCAATCAGGAAATAAAGTACCATTTAGTAATCAGCCAACCCAAAAGCGACTTTTCTCATTCAAAACATTGCCTAAATATCGTTTTTGATTTTTCGAAATTTTTCCAAGGGGTTCCCCTACAATATTGTGGGTTTTCCCAATTTCCACACTTTTGCTCCTTCCGATGGCCATAGCTCTGGTAATTTGTGTCCAATCAGGAAATAAAGTACCATTTAGTAATCAGCCAACCCAAAAGCGACTTTTCTCATTCAAAACATTGCCTAAATATCGTTTTTGATTTTTCGAAATTTTTCCAAGGGGTTCCCCTACAATATTGTGGGTTTCCCCAATTTCCACACTTTTGCTCCTCCGATGGCCAAATATATATTCTAGTTTCACTCCCAAAATAAAAACTAATTTTAATTGGTTTCGTTTTTTTTTAATACTAAACAGTTTAAATTTTGATACAGAGAATCCAAGCGTCACGATTTTTAAAAGGAACCCGAAAGGACCATAATTAGCTGATATAGAATGGATCTCGAAATGGGCCTAAAACTGACTGAAGCTGGCGCGAAACTAAGCTAATGAAATTAAAAGTAAACTAGGACTCGGATATAAACTACTATTTGAACTAAAACCTTGAATTAAGACTTGGAGTTGTTTTCTTCAGGAGCAAGTTCTGGTGCCTCCTTCACCTCGGCATCGTCCTTCTCCCCAACCCTGGCCAGCATCTGGGCTATGATCTCGCTAGTTGTCAGTAAGTATGACTCAAAGGGAACGACTTCAATCTTCTTATCCTCTGGATAACCGTCTTCCACCTCGGGAGCGAGAGGCTGCCCGTTGCACATATTCTCCAAGTCAGCGGCATAGCGACTGCGACATGTGATGTCCTCGTCCTCGCGGTTCGCCTCCACCTCATCGCCGATGAGGCAGTCTCTGATGGCCATCAGCCAGCGGGAACGAGTGGGTGAATAAACCATATTCGTAGGTGACGGAATGTGTATACCGATTCTGGAAGTTAAACCTTCTCCCAACATGTCTTCGTTATGGTTGCGCCGATTGCGAAGCAAAAATGAAACTGTAGCAGGAGCTGGAAGCAAAACTGAAACTAACATTGGAGCGCCACATAGAACTGCAGTTGAAGTAGAAGCCGGAGACGAGACTAGAGACACGGCCTGAGTAGGAACTGTAGCCGGAGCTGGAGACTGAGCTAAAGCCGAAGCTTCAGTCTGAACCGGTTCCGGATGCACCAATAAGCACTGTCCGGATTCCCGGGACTCTTCAATCTTCGATTGGGCTGGCACGGACTCGAGCTCCTCGAACTCTACCTGGTCGTTCCACTCTTCGGGTGAAAGGGGCACTGGTTGTTCATCATCCGGATCCTCCTCTCGCTCGGTGGCGCTCTCCATTATTGGTGGAATGATAGGGTTGCTTGTCTCTTGTGGATCCTGCTGCAGTCGGAGCATCTCACCCGAGATGTAGTCCAAGTCGTCGTAGTTGTCTTGCTCCAGGTCGACGTCACCATCCTGCTTCTCCGTTTCGGATGAGGGCAATGTGGCCCGCAAGTTGATCAGCTCCCGGGGAGCCTCCTTTGCCTTCTCCGCCCGGAGAGTCACATACTTGAAAAATGCACTGAAGCTGACATGCGAGTAGGGTGCGCGGGGCCGGGGCCGATGGTACGGGCAGTCCTCGTCGTAGAGCCACTCGCGTGGAGCATCCACCGCCAGACTAAAGTCGCGGCACATTTTCTTGAACTCGTGGTGGTCTGTGTAGATAGCGCGCAAGCCCACCACGGTGATGGCTTGGCTGATGCGTTCTTCAACCTCTAGATCGTCCTTCAAAATGGTCAAAAAATTGAGGTTGTTGGAAAGGTCGGGGAACATTAAGCCGTGCCACATCCTGCGCAGCAGTTTGTTGGGCAGACGCGTAAAGCGGATGCACTCAAACAGGCGGCTCAGCAATCCCCTTCGTTTGATGGGCCGGGCGGCCATCCAGCGGATGATGCTGTACAGAACCTCCATCTCCGTGTTGACCCCCAGATTGTCCTGCTGCAGTATTGTCACTAGATCTTCTACCGGCAGGTCCAGGTATTGGCTGTCCCCGACCATGGCCAGGAAGTGGAACCCGATCCGTTGGAGCATCAGCTGGCACTGGGGACGCAGAACCTCGTACGTCCTGGCCCGCATGTAGATATCGAATGCGATCTGTTCCCGGCACTGCGAACTGCACAGGTAGCGATTACATATGACTTCCAGTGAGCTTATGTCCAGCTGGATGGCGGTGTGCAGCAGTTCCACCAGCTTGCCGGGCTGCGAGTTTGCGTCCAGGGGCTCCTTCTGCCTCATCCAATCATAAGCGGCCCGAAAACCAACGGCGGTAAGATCTGTGCCTTCCCGGAAACGACTTACGGAACGCGGGTGACGCGCAAAGTAGCCGGAGTGTAGCTGGAGCAGTGCCGGGATGCACCAGAAGGTGGCCCTGCCGATGCAGACGCGGACAGTGGCGCCCAGGTTTCCCTCCAAGATGCGACTCCAGTCGTCGGCGGAACGGCACTCGAGGGGATGCGGCGACCGGACATTGATCCTCGAAAAGTCGCAATCGTTCCATGGCATCATATGGCTCAGGGCCATCTCTAGTTTGTGACGACGCTCCTGGCGCTCCACTTCGCTGCTGAACGTTTTGCGGTCATTCAAGGCCACCAACTCGTGCCACTTATAGTCGTACCACTGCAGTTTCCGGGCCATCACTTGCTCTAAGGATCGTTTCTCTTCTACGGATGCTGTCTGCTCTACAGATACTGTTCCCTCTACGGATACTTTCTCTACGGTGCCTTCACTTATGTCTGAATAGTCCTCTATCTATATAGTATATACTCTGTTGGTATGAATGTGGTCTGCAATATTAAGGAAAGGAAAATTGATTTATGTTAATCACGTACCAAATTTGTCCAGTTCAGGTTTTCTTTTTTAGGTTTTAGGTGTTTTTTTGGTTGAGAAGAGCCTGATACACTTGAAGAGCAATTTTTAGAAAGAATTTGGGTGCTGGTTGACGCACTAACCTGTCCGGATTTACTTTTCCAAGGCTTCGTTGTTTAAAAAAAAATGTTGGGTTTAACATATTAGCATGATTATACAAAGCAATTCCTTACAAAATAAATACCTAACAAATCTCATGCTATAACAAAAAATATTTTAAAATAACTACTAGTCTTTTTGGAAAAGTTAACCCAGAAAGTAATCTTCAAAAAGAATAAAGTTATGACCTAACTTTCAGATAAAGAATTTAAGCCTTCAGGAAAATACTATAGCTTCTTGAAAATTCTTTGTTTGTTTATGCTTAAGCCGGTAAAGAATTAAATTACAATCCAAAATATGATAAAGAACAAGTAATTTTTTTTTTTACCGAAAATAGGCGGAAAAGAATGCTTCAACTTATTACAGAAGGACTAAGAAGTACCGGGTATAGGTATATAGTGTTATATAGACAATTTTAAAACGAATTTTTATCTCACAGGTCTATCATACTACAAACAATAAGTCCTCCATCCTACATTCCTACAAGAATTTTAAAACTTAAATATATTAAATCAAGAAAGGAAAGCTAGCTTCGGGCGGAGCGGAAGTTGATATATCTTTCCAGTTAAAATCGGATATATATCGGATACAGGTGGCCTATACTTTTGAGAATCTCATAATAAAACCAATTTATTAGAATAAAATATCTAAAAAAAGAAATAATTATTATTTACGGTCCCAGAATTAAAAGAAAAGATTAAAAAAAAGATAATTAAATAAAAAGTTTAAAGAAATTTGGTCCGCCGACTCCAATGTACTAGCTACAAGTACTAGTAGGTACTAGTTAAAATTTATTATATATATTTTAATCTTGTACTTCCATTAAAATTTTCATTACAAATTTCAAATTAAAACAATTCCTTAAAGTGGAAAACAGAGAATTTTAATTTCTTCAGCTTAATATCTTATCCTACTCCTACTACAGACTAAAGCATGCTCTTCGTCACCTACGTGGACTGCCGTCCCCAGTGATAAAATAACTCAAGTCGTCATCTTTCGCAAAAACCCTTAAAAAATTTATTTAATTTTATTGACTTTTTGACTATACAAGTTCCTTGATCAACAACGTACATTTAATATAAATATTAATCGAAAACAAATCGCATTCTCACTGCAGAGTTCATCCCAAACGTCAAATCAGTTAATTATTTTATACTTAATTCGATATTTTTCAATAAAAAATGTACACCTTCATGTGCCATGTGTGTGTGTCATGCTTGCGAATAAAATTTTACAAAATATACAACGTGTTTCAGTGACGAGAACACTGCAGTAAGCTGGCGACTTGTGTGCTTAGTCTTTGGCCAGCAAGAGACCAGCCCCTGTTGCCTAGATCACCGGCAGTCCACTGACCACCGCCTCCAGTTGCTCCTGGATGGCACTCAGGGCGAAAATCGTGGTGAAGCACATGCCAATGGTGGCCACTTCCAGCTGGCTGATGTTGAAGTGCAGCGGCAGGCGCCACAAAACAAAGTGGTTTAGCAGCACGAGCAGGGCCAGACCTAGGGACCACCAGTGCTCGTCCACGACGGCAATGTGCCACAAACAATACACATTCCACATGACGCAGAGGCCCAAGTGGGCGGCATCCAGCTTGACGAAGCCGGCGCCAATGGGGCTGCCCCGGTTGCCGCCCGTCCAGAGGCTTCCGATGGCCAGGGCCAGGGTGCCGGTCCAGAGTCCAAAGGCCAGTCGATCCCAGTCGGCGCCAAAGAATTCACCGATTTTGGTAGTTGGGTTGATGACCTGAAAGCAAAGATTCCCTTGGTAGGATGTGCTAGCTCCAGGTAGTGACCATTACTCACCTGCAGTTCACCCACGATCAGGGTGACGAAGAGCACGGAGGAGTAGCGCCGCGACTTGTCACACAGAAGCCTCTGGAGCTGACCCGGATTCGGATGTGTGTGCCGGAGCAGGCAGAGCAGACTGTGGCCAAAGAATATACCAAAAGCTGCCATCGCCTGGCGGCCAGAGCTTTGCTTCAGGCCCCAGCCGGAAGTGACTGCCAGGACGAAGTGGATGAGGCAGACAGCCAGGCGGTTGCTTGGCCCGGCCGGGCTGTCAGCCTGAAAAGATCTGCCGGATACCATTGCCGGGTAAGCAGGTGGTTGCAGTTCTTAGAGGGGACTTCTGGGAAGATTAGATGCCGTAGATGATACTCCTCCGACTCCTTTGGCAGACGCTTATTTATTTGGTTGAACGAGATGTCCAAGCATCGATGGAGGCATCTGGTGAAGATCAGGAGCACCTGCTCCAGTCGGTCGTCTTAAAAGTGGATCTAATCAGTTAAGAAATAGTCGCAATACAAATTCTTCCACGCTGTTCAACACTACATTTTCGAGCTTTGCAGCACTACAGTAAGTTTAAACTTGAGCGCCAACGTAAATTTTAGATAAATACTTAAAAATAATAAAGCCTATGATATTATTTAAAATAAATAAACTATAAAGAATCATATTCTAAAATAAAATAGTTAAATTGATGCGCGCAATGAGCTCTTTCCTTGCATAATCTGGCAACACCAATACGATAGTTCTTTCGATAGCACCTGCAGTCAGCTGTTTCTTCCAACTGTTTCACTTGCACAACAATTTGCGGTGTTTTTCCGTATTTTTCATTAAAAGATTTCCCCTATTTACTGAAACAAAATGCGCCTGACCAACGTTCTGCTGAAGAAGGTGAAAAGCAAGTGAGTAGACTGTGCCGACATAGTGAAAAAATGGTTTATTTACGAGCCACTTTGCAGGCGCATAATGGTTGTGCTGGAGAGCGTGGTCAGCGGGCACCAGTACAATGCCTTCCGGGACCGTCTGGCGGACAAGTTGGAAATAATTCGCTTCGATCCTTACAGTGAGTAATGCATTTGACTGCTGTGGCCACAACCCGGCTAATTGGTGCTTCTTCTTTTCTCATTTTAGTTCAAAAGGAGAGCCTGTACCGCGAACGCAAGAAAATCCGTAGCGCCTAAAGTTAGAGAACCCCACTTGTTAGTTACCCAAATATATATTATACCCAAACTAAATCATTTATTATTTTTTTATTGAGAACAACGACTAGGTCGAGTACTAGGTTGTAGGTTTAAAAATAGTCAGATAATATCCGATAATACGACTAAAAAGTAAGTCCCTGAGACTAATAGCTTCAATCTTCTTCCTCTCTCCGATATGTACCTGACTTCCGGCCCGTTTGGTGGCGCCACCAATGCGGCGGAGTCAGCAAAGCCGCTATGGAAGGGTTTACTATGGGCTATGTGTTTACTTGAATGGCTTCTCAGTCATCAGGAGGCCGCGCTCCCACAAGTCCAAGGCCACATCAACACGGCGACTGCTGGAGGTGAGGGGCAGATCGCTGACCTTGATGTAGGCCGGATAGGTGTGGATCAGTAGCTCAACGGCACCGGCCTCGGACGGGTCGAGCTCCATAAAGTTGGCGTCGTACTTGCAGTACTCGAGGGCATTGTCCACGTAGTAGTAGAGATGGAGAGCGCCCTCCTCGGCCACCAGGCGCACAATGTTGGCGCGGAGCAGGCGGATGGAGGTCTGCTGGTTGAACTCGTAGTCGCACAGGCACTGGCCCTGGGCGTCGGTCTCGCTGCGCGACCCGAACACCGTGCGCGTACGCTCCTCCGGCAAAATGGTCGGAGGCAAGGCCTCGTGCTGGAACTTCTTGGCCAGCTGGTCCACAGCCGCGTCGATTTGCTCCTCGGTGGGTACCAGATACTTCTGGACCATCTGCTGAATGCCCTGGATGAGGGTCGAGCGTGAACGACTCTCTCCGCCGCCGTTGGCGAGTCCCAGGTTCTGCCAGGTGTGCAACGGCAGGCCGTGGCGCAGTGCTATCTTGTTCTCCACAGCGTTCTTCAGCACCATGGGCATCAGGTTCTCGAGCAGATTGGCGTAGGCCTGCTGCTGGTAGACACTCAGGGTGATGTGCAGCGAGTGCTGGTTCTGCTCGGTGATGGCCTGGTGGACGGTGCCACGTGGGAAGTAGAGCACGTCCCCAGCCTCTAGGACCTCGTCGAAGATCGGTTCGCCGAGCTCACTCTGGTTAAAGTTGCCGGAAGAGTGGCGCGCCAGGATGTCGGTGGGCTTGACCGGCATGTACAAGCGCCAGCGCTTGCGTCCCTCCACTTGGAGGACGAACGCCTCGATGTCATCGTAGTGGGGAGCGAATCCCTGGCTGTTCGGCGGAGTCAAGTAGACATTGGCCCCGACCAGGCAGTGGAAGAACTCCTGCATCGTGGCGCACACCTGGCGCAGTCCGGCCAGGTAGGTCGACGGATTCAAGATACGAATGCTGCAGCCGTCGGCGTAGAAGCCCCAAACGGCCGGCGGCATGGCCCTGCCCTCGGGATTGAGGGTCTCACGCACGCCATCCTTGTAGCTGGTCACGTCGATGTTGGTGGTGAACTCCAGGTGATGGCGGATCAGCATCTCGTCGATCATCCGAAACGAGATGAGTTCGGAGAAGTACTTGGGATTTTGGCGCTGCACCTGGCAGGCGTTCTTCTCCCAGAAGTTTGCGAAGAACTCGTCTGACTGGAGGGGATTGATGACCCACTGGAGCATGCGGCGTCCCTCCTCGATGCTGTTGACCTTATGGTAGTCTTTGGTTTTCGATGACTCATCTTTCTTCTTTGCGGCAGATGAAGTGCTGGGACCGTCGGCGTCTCCAGCGGCATCCCCGTCCCCAGCGCTGCCGGTGGACTTGGCCTTGGCTGCCTTGACGGTGCTTGACTTGGCACCGGATGAGCCCTCGGCGGCTGTGTCGCCGGCAGAGGTGCCTGGCTTCGAACTGGATTTTCCGCCAACCGGGGACTTGGATTTGCTGCGGCCACTACGAGGGACGGCGAGGCCAGCACTTGTGCCTGGCTTGTTCTTATCGTCCTCCTGGACGATGCGAGGAGGCACCACAGCTCCGGCTGCAGCCTTCGACTTGGCGGCCTGAGTTGGATTTGGGGACTTGGCGGCCGGGGTTGGATTCGGAGACTTGGCCTTGGCCGGCAAAGGGCAGGAGGCCACTGATTTGCGCTTCAGTGGGCAAGCGAGTGCTCCCGACTTGGTGGCCTCAGGTTCAGTGTGCACCAGAGCCCCGGCCATGGTGACGCGGCGCTGGATGCGCGGATTGGCCGGAGCAGGGCCGGCCTTTTCGGCCGCCGTCTTGTTCTTGATGGGCGCTACCTTGTTGTTATTGGCGTCTTGGGAGGCAGCTTTCTCGTTGGTGCGGCGCACCGGCGGAATCTCTGGAGAAGAGCTGCTGCTCATGGTGTACTCGGTCATTTCTTCGCTGTCGGACGAACAGTCGGAAGACTCTTGTTCGTCGCTGCCAGAGTCTTGAGATTCTTGGTCGTCGCTGCCAGAGTCCTGAGACTCTTGATCTTCGCTGCTGTACTCAGATGAGCTCGATTCGGATGGGCCAATGGAAGGATTGCTGGTACCCGGCATCTGGCCGCTGAGGTACTCCTTGACTTTGCGGCGTTGTTGCTGCGGCGACAAGCTTGTCTTCCTATTATCGTCGTACAGCTTGTCCAAGAAGACGTCCAGGCTCGACTTGGGGTTCTGCTTGTTACCCGCCTTACCGGCTGGCTTACCGTTAGCTTGTGGCTTGCCGTTCATCTTTTCTGCGTTCGAGTTGGCGCCAATTGGCAAATCGCGTTGGTTGCGAGACATATTCTTCCTTTTACTTTCAGTCAATTTTCATAAAACCAGTGAAATTTAGTTAACACTCGATTTCTCGAACAACATTTAACGATGAAACACTGAACATTAAAGGATGACTTGAAAATGTTTGACAGCTTCGGCACGTGCTCCTGTGCCAATGGTGCTCGAAACCTGGAATAGGGTTCCAAATTTCGTTGTTAACACTGTAAAACGACTGTAAATGTAGTGTGCTAAAGTGTGAAAATGGAGGGAATTCTACAAATTCGAACATAAAATGTGGGCACCACTGTTATACACCCATGCTGGGAGCCGGAATCTTGGTTCTGAATGTTTTAATTTAACATTAATATTTTTCTCTTTAGCTTTTATATTTATTAATAAAAACCCTCAAAATAGGAGCTCGAAACCCTATTTCACGGGGTTCCAAATTTCGTTGTTAACACTGTAAAATGACAGAAAATGTAGTGTGCTAAAGTGTGCAAATGGAGGGAATTCTACAAACTCGAACACAAAATGTGGGCACCACTGTTATACACCCATGCTGGGAGCCGGAATCTTGGTTCTGAATGTTTTAATTTAACATTAATATTTTACTTTTTAGCTTTTATATTTATTAATAAAAACCCTCAAAATAGGTGCTCGAAACCCAATTCCATGGGGTTCCAAATTTCGTTATTAACACTGAAAAATGACAGAAAATGTAGTGTGCTAAAGTGTGCAAAAGGGGGGAATTTTACAAATTCGAACACAAAGCAAGTATAACAGTGGTGCCCACACAAGTGCATTCACTGTTAGCACTGTAAAAAGAATGTAAATTCAGTGTGCTAAAGTGTCATAACGGGAGAATTCTACATATTCGGACACAAAATGTGGGCACCACTGTTATACACCCATGCTGGGAGCCGGAATCTTGGTTCTGAATGTTTTAATTTAACATTAATATTTTACTCCTTAGCTTTTATATTTATTAATAAAAACCCTCAAAATAGGTGCTCGAAACCCAATTCCATGGGGTTCCAAATTTCGTTGTTAACACTGAAAAATGACTGTAAATGTAGTGTGCTAAAGTGTGAAAATGGGGGGAATTCTACAAATTCGAACACAAAATGTGAGCACCACTGTTATACACCCATGCTGGGAGCCGGAATTTTGGTTCTAAATGTTTTAATTTAACATTAATATTTTACTCTTTACCTTTTATATTTATTAATAAATTAATTAATCAATACAGTTGTGAATTTTTACAGCATTGCAGCTCCAAAAGGACCCACTTGTCTTTTTTTCACCAGTCCGGCAACCCCTTAATGAGCGATCCACCGTCAGCTGATTAAACCGGCAACTTTTGGGAAGCTTGTGAAATCTTTGAATAATGTCCGATGCCGCTACTGATGTCACAGCCGATGCCGAAGTGGAGGAGACCCCTCCAATAGAAGCAGATCCCGTAGAAACTGACACCGCCAAACTCCTGGAGACAAGCGCCGCCCTGCAGGAGGACGATGAACTGGCCAACATCGTTACCGCCGAGGAGTACCTGATGCGCAAGGATGTGGTGCTTCTGGAGTACGAGAAGCAAATGTACCTGGACTTGGTCCTTGAGGATGGTCTGCTGGTGTGCGCCAAGTGAGCCTAAAACACAAAATCCAAAAAACAGACTCCTAAAACTTTAAAAATCATCCAAACGCAGGGGCTTGAGCTACGAACGAGTCCTGATACACATCCTTAAGTCCTTTAGTGATGCAGGCAACCTGGTTCTGGTCATAAACAGTTCCGACTGGGAGGAGCAGTACTACAAGTCCAAGCTGGACTCCAAATACGTGCACGAGGTGGCCAACACAGCCACGGAAAGGTAAGCCAGCTACCTCCCTACTTTCCATCTCTTTCTAATTCATCTCAACAAAACGTGCTAGGGAGCGGGTTTATTTGGAAGGCGGCCTCCAGTTCGTCAGCACACGGATCTTGGTGGTAGATCTGCTAAAGCAGCGCGTCCCCATCGAGCTGATCACCGGCATTATCGTCCTGCGGGCTCACACCATCATCGAGAGCTGTCAGGAGGCGTTCGCCTTGCGGCTTTACCGTCAGAAGAACAAGACTGGGTTCATCAAGGCCTTCTCCAATAGCGCCGAGGCCTTTACCATCGGCTACTCCCATGTGGAGCGCACCATGCGCAATCTGTTTGTGAAGAACTTGTTCATCTGGCCCCGATTTCATGCCTCGGTGCGCAATGCCTTGCACCCCTGGCAAGCGCAGACCATTGAGCTTCATGTGCCGCTCACCCCCAGCCAGACCTCCATACAGACCCACATCCTGGACATTATGAACTTCCTGGTGCGCGAGATCAAGCGCATTAATCGCACGGTGGACATGGAGGCGGTCACTGTCGAGAATTGTGTCACCAAGAAGTTCCACAAGATCCTGCAGGGCCAGCTGGACTGCATCTGGCATCAGCTCAACTCCCAAACGAAGCTCATTGTGGCCGATCTCAAGATTCTGCGCAGCTTGATGATGTACGTAGTGCTAGCGTTGGCTTTATTGCAGATTTAATTGAACTCTTCCTTTTGACCTTCAGTTCCACCATGTACCATGATGCTGTTAGTGCCTATGCGTTGATGAAACGATATCGCACCAAGGAGTACGCCCTGAGTAATTCCGGCTGGACTCTGTTGAATGCTGCCGAGCAGATCTTTACCATATCCAAGCAGCGAGTCTTTAATGGCCAGCAGGGTAGGTATTACAGAGTTCAAGAAAATCGTATACTACTATCCGCTCTCCTAATCGTAGAATTTGAGCCGGAACCCTGTCCCAAGTGGCAACCACTCACGGAACTGCTCACTCAGGATGTGCCGGGAGATATGCGGCGATGTCGACGCACCGAACAGCCAAAGGTGTTGATCCTCTGCCAAGATGCACGCACCTGCCACCAGCTGAAGCAATACCTCACCCAGGGCGGCTCGCGGTTCCTGCTCCAGCAGGCTCTCCAGCACGAGGTGCCTGTGGGTAAGTTGAGCGACAAGTACGCCAAGGAGAGCCAGTACAAGGCTGCCCCTAAGCCGGTCAAGAGCGAGGCACTGAAACAGGAACCAGCTAGCTCCCAGCCCCCTCCGGGCGGACCGGATGAACTGGCTCAGCTGCTGAGCGATAACGATGTGGAGGGGCAGCACTTCGAAGAGAGCTACATGCTCACTATGACACAGCCAGTGGAGCTGATGGAGTATGTGGAAGCGGCCGTGGATATCAAGCCGGACCCGAATGCCTCGTTATTCGAAAGCATACCCGAACTGGAGCAGTTGGATGTCACTGCAGCGCTGGCGGCGGTGCCGCATCAGCCCTACATCTGCCTGCAGACCTTCAAGACGGAGCGCGAGGGCTTCATGGCGCTGGAGCACATGCTGGACCAGCTGCAGCCACACTACGTGGTCATGTACCACACCAATGTGACAGCCATACGGCAGCTGGAGGTTTTCGAGGCGCGGCGTCGCTTTCCTCCCGCCGATCGCATGAAGATCTTCTTCCTCATCCATGCCAAATCCGTGGAGGAGCAGGCCTACCTCACCAGCTTGCGCAGAGAGAAGGCTGCTTTCGAGCTAATCATCGACACCAAGAGTGTAGGCATCTTTGGAGTGGGCACTTCCAAGACGAGAAATAACGTATTATCTTCCGTTTTCAGAAAATGGTGATTCCGGAGTACCAAGACGGCAAAACGGACGAGGCCTTTATTCTGTACAAGAACTACGATGACGAGCTCGTGGAGGACAACGCCCAGAGTCGCCGAGCTGGTGGCCAGGCACCGAAAACGCCCAAGGAAACGGCCAAGGTGATAGTGGACATGCGGGAGTTCCGATCGGATCTGCCGTGTCTGATCCACAAGCGCGGCTTGGAGGTCCTGCCGCTGACCATCACGATCGGGGACTACATCCTAACGCCGGACGTGTGTGTGGAGCGCAAGTCCATTTCGGATCTGATTGGCTCCCTAAACTCGGGACGACTCTACAACCAGTGCGTCCAGATGCAACGGCACTACGCCAAGCCGATTCTGCTCATTGAGTTCGACCAGAACAAGCCCTTTCACCTCCAGGGCAAGTTCATGCTGTCCCAGCAGACGACCAGCGCCAATGCCGACATTGTACAGAAGCTGCAGCTGTTGACGCTGCACTTCCCCAAGCTGCGGCTCATTTGGTCACCCAGTCCGTATGCCACCGCCCAGCTGTTCGAGGAGCTGAAGCTGGGGAAGCCCGAACCGGATCCCCAGCAGGCGGTGGCCCTGGGCAGCGACGAGCTCACGGCCGGGGAGCAACTGCACTTCAACAGCGGCATCTACGATTTTCTGCTCCGGCTGCCGGGCGTCAATACCCGGAGCATACACGGCCTGATGCGGAACGGCGGAAGTCTGCGGCAATTGCTGCTGCGCAGCCAAAAGGAGCTGGAGGACTTGCTGCAGTCGCAGGAGGGCGGCAAGCTGCTCTACGACATCCTGCACGTGGCCCATCTGCCCGAAAAGGACGAGGTGGCCGGCTCGACAGCGCTGCTGGCAGCTGGCAAGCAATTCGGCTCCGGAGCACACAATCGTTTCAGGAAGGCAGCTGCCGAGTCGCGACGAGGACGACGCTAAAGCCTGGAAAATAATTAAGATAGATAGAACTATAAGTAAGTTAAAGTTATAAATTATTTTAAATTATTCTTAGTTTTACTTTCAAGGTATTTAGACGGCCACTAAAGAGTGGTGTCCTCGTAGCCCAATGGACTTTAATTCCTGCAACTGCAGCGCTTAAAGGCCCAACCTGCTATACATGTATTTAATAATTAAATTTATCTTGCACTGTATATACGAATTTTTAATTTTTAGATTCAATATGAAGCTGAAATTCCGACACAAACACGAGAGAGGAGGAGGCCAGCCAGCCGCACGCCGGGCGGATGAAGTCCCGAGCAAACAGTCACCGCGAAATTATGGAAATTTTTTAAACGTTCCCAATTAACTCGCAAAGGGAATGAGGACACCAGGCCCAGGAATGCAGCAGAGAAGCAGATGAATGAGGATGAGGAGGATGAGCGGACCAGTCTGGACGTTGACAGTTTGGCGGGGGAGATGCTGGCACTGACCACTGGGGATGCGACAAAACTGGCTGCGACGGAGCGTTGCAGGTTGATGGCTTCATGTTGCAACTGCAACTGCAGTCATCGGGGAGGAGCGCATAAAAATCAATTTTCAATAAATTTTTAATTGCCCCCGCGTCGACTGTCTGCCCAGGCACTCCTGCCACTGGCATCCTGCCTGGCCTGCCTCTCCCTGCCGGATACTGAAGGAGCTTGGAGTCCCATTAACAGCCAGACCATGTGATACCAGTGGCTATAAACGGAATTTTTCATTCACCAACTCAACTATGAGAGTATTCTGTAAATTATACGCCAAATATTTATATTTTTTTGTGGCAGACTTTAAAAAATATATACAAGTTTATTATTTATTTAAAAACGAGTTAGAGTTTATAGAAAAAACAAACCAAAAATGTAAAACCAAGTAGTCTGTGACTATATGGATTTCCTTTGGCCTGTGTGAGTCTCTCCCAACAGAGTCATTCGATACCAGACCAGTCTAGTGTTCAGGCCAGATTCCAAATTTTCAGTTTTGCTTGAATTTTGAATATTTTCTTTTTTTTTGGATTTTAAATATTTAAAATTTTTGGTAGCATGAATCCCAACGGAGAGGAGACGGCGACCCCGACAACATCGACCGGCGGCAGTAATGTGGGGGAGGACGTCGACATTGAAGTGGTACTGGAGCTGCTCGGAGAGCTGCGACGGGGCTACATTAATCTGGAGACGTTGGTGGTCACTGAACCGGAACGTTTATTGGCACAAACTGCCCGGGAGTCTGTCGACCGGGACATTGAACGGATGTGCGAGATCCGGCTGCTGGCGGCCGCCCATCGCGCCCACATGGCAGATTTCGCCCGTCGCATCCAACGCTCCCACGTCCATGTCCAGCTCATTCATTTGATGCTGCGCCAGGCGCGCCAGCGCTTCGAGACGACAGCGATGCCTGAGATGCCAACCGCTTCCACCTCGACGCCGGATGCTGGCGGCGATGATGGTGGTGCTGCCCGTCAGATGCGCCGTCTGCAGCTATCCTATGCCCGTCTGGACCACAGTGGACGAGATCTGGACCAGCAGCACCGGGATCAGGATCGCAACTAAGCCATTTCTTTTAGCAGTAGGATATTAGGCAGCTGTGGAACCAGTGGAGAGACCAGTGGAAGTAGTGTTGTGGAGTTGGAAACGGAAGTGAGACATTTTCGTATTTTGGAAGCAACTTTGGATATCAAATTTTGGAAAAGTAGCCGTGTACTAAGCCTTCAGATAGAGCTTCAGATTCGAACATCAACGTAAATAGCTGGGGGAGGAATATATAAATTTTATTGTCAATAAATGGAATATTAATAATGATATATGAGTGCTTGTTTAAATCATTTGAAATATTCTTATAATTATTCGCGAAAGTTCAGAATAATATAAGAATTAATCTTTTAGATTTATATCCATAAGAATTCAGCTTTTTAAGGATTTATGAGGGTTACAAGGGCCTCCTTATATAGAATAGTTTTTCGTTTTTTTAGGAAAGACTAAAAGTTTTCCAAAGTATTTTAATGGCATTTAAAATACGCTTATAAAATCCGATTTTGACTATTTAAACCATGTTTTTTAGTCAAATACTTAATATTATCTTAGAAAATAGTTCAAAAATAAAACAATTAACTAGAAAAAGAGTAAAAGAGGGGCGGAAAAACGGACTAAAAAGCTTAAATAATAAATTTTAATGCTATAAAAAAATAAAAACATATAAACAATTTAGTTCTGGTCAAGCTAAAAAAAATGAAAAAAAATAAATGAAAGTTCCCAAGATTTGAATAACTTGATAAAAACCAAAAATAATAAACAAAACATTAACTAGCAGCCATATTTAATAATTCAAATTTAAACAAATGTAAAACTATGTATACATAATAAAGCTTCAAAATGTGATGGATTATTCTTTCTTGGATTATTTTTCCATAAAGTGGTCCCGTATATTTATCATCGTCGGTATAAAAATATCAGCTAGGGTGTAGATCATTTCAGCTATCATTTCAGTTAGGTCCTTCGACTCCAGGGCATACACGTTAGTCATAATCAGACTCAAGCCGATACAAAAAACTATGAAATATATGCACTATGGCAAGGCAGATAAGAATAATCAAATAAAATTCGAAGCAACCGTGAATCATGGTGGTGGACTTGTCCTTAGTTAGTTGGTCCTCCCACTTATAGATCGCAATTTTGTTAGCGTTAGATATACGTCTGTAGGGTTTATTAAAATTGCATGATTATATTATTTACTTGTAATATAAATTGTTTCTTACTTTTTGAAGAAATTTTCTAAGAAGGATTTTTGTTGTCTACGCTTTGTAGTTTAAATGTAAACTGATGAGTTATAGAAAAAGGTTGAAAGGCACATTGACAAATTCTTGACACATGAGTTTCAAAGGTAACTAGATTTGGATTTTTTTGTAATTCTTCAAGCCTTGTAATTTGTAAGAATAAGGTTTTTTACATACTCGTACATATTGTGCTCTACTGTGGCTTAATTTATAAGCGTTTTTTTATCAATTCTAAGCTTTTATAAGTCAATTAAAACCTATACATACTAATTACTTTTCCTAAATCATAATTTCAAAATTGATTAATAAAATAATAAAATAATTTGGCTTAATTCTGGGCAGTAGAATTCTACAAAGGGTTATGTTAGTTTTTTAAATCAATTACAACGTTAGTTACGTAAGTATCATTTTTAAATAAGTAACTTTTAAAAAGGCTTATAGACTTATACCAATAAACTCCAAAACTCCTCCAATTTTTAAAAAAGTTTAAACTTTAAAGGTATGGATTCTAATATTAATTATAATAAAAACTTTAAAGGTATGGATTCTTGCGCTTGGGAAAAAAAACAACCGAAGTCCCCTACTACTTCCTACGTCTTAAAAGTCTATAACTCCTTTAAAATTGTCCGATTTGGCTAAAGGTCTACACCTTAGCCATTGAAACAGTTTGGCATCAAAAAATTCCAATGAACTGGGGCTACAACGAGATTTCTTTTTCTTTTTTGATATACGCGGATTTCATACGAGTCCAATTTATGAAACCCCTTGAAAAAAATTCGAAAAATTTAAAATCGATATTTTAGCAATGTTTTGAATCGCTTTTGGATTCGCTGATTACTAAATGCTACTTTATTTCCTGATCGGACACAAATTGCCAGAGCTATGGCCATCGGAAGGAGCAAAAGTGTGGAAATTGGGAAAACCCACAATATTGTAGGGGAACCCCTTGGAAAAATTTCGAAAAATTTGAAAACCTTATTTTAGCAATGTTTTGAATGAGAAAAGTCGCTCTTGGGTTCGCTGATTACTAAATGGTACTTTATTTCCCGATCGGACACAAATTGCCAGAGCTATGGCCATTGGAAGGAGCAAAAGTGTGGAAATTGGGAAAACCCACAATATTGTAGGGGAACCCCTTGGAAAAATTTCGAAAAATTTGAAAACCTTATTTTAGCAATGTTTTGAATGAGAAAAGTCGCTCTTGGGTTCGCTGATTACTAAATGGTACTTTATTTCCTGATCGGACACAAATTGCCAGAGCTATGGCCATCGGAAGGAGCAAAAGTGTGGAAATTGGGAAAACCCACAATATTGTAGGGGAACCCCTTGGAAAAATTTCGAAAAATTTTAAAACCTTATTTTAGCAATGTTTTGAATGAGAAAAGTCGCTTTTAGGTTCGCTGATTACTAAATGGTACTTTATTTCCTGATCGGACACAAATTGCAAGAGCTATAGCCATCGGAATGAGCCAAAGTGTGGAAATTGGGAAAACCCACAATATTGTAGGGGAACCCCTTGGAAAAATTTCGAAAAATTTGAAAACCTTATTTTAGCAATGTTTTGAATGAGAAAAGTCGCTCTTGGGTTCGCTGATTACTAAATGGTACTTTATTTCCCGATCGGACACAAATTGCCAGAGCTATGGCCATCGGAAGGAGCAAGAGTGTGGAAATTGGGAAAACCCACAATATTGTAGGGGAACCCCTTGGAAAAATTTCGAAAAATTTGAAAACCTTATTTTAGCAATGTTTTGAATGAGAAAAGTCGCTTTTAGGTTCGCTGATTACTAAATGGTACTTTATTTCCTGATCGGACACAAATTGCAAGAGCTATAGCCATCGGAATGAGCAAAAGTGTGGAAATTGGGAAAACCCACACTATTGTAGGGGAACCCCTTGGAAAAATTTCGAAAAATTTGAAAACCTTATTTTAGCAATGTTTTCAATGAGAAAAGTCGCTCTTGGGTTCGCTGATTACTAAATGGTACTTTATTTCCCGATCGGACACAAATTGCCAGAGCTATGGCCATTGGAAGGAGCAAAAGTGTGGAAATTGGGAAAACCCACAATATTGTAGGGGAACCCCTTGGAAAAATTTCGAAAAATTTGAAAACCTTATTTTAGCAATGTTTTGAATGAGAAAAGTCGCTCTTGGGTTCGCTGATTACTAAATGGTACTTTATTTCCCGATCGGACACAAATTGCCAGAGCTATGGCCATCGGAAGGAGCAAGAGTGTGGAAATTGGGAAAACCCACAATATTGTAGGGGAACCCCTTGGAAAAATTTCGAAAAATTTGAAAACCCTATTTTAGCAATGTGTTGAATGAGAAAAGTCGCTCTTGGGTTCGCTGATTACTAAATGGTACTTTATTTCCTGATCGGACACAAATTGCCAGAGCTATGGCCATCGGAAGGAGCAAAAGTGTGGAAATTGGGAAAACCCACAATATTGTAGGGGAACCCCTTGGAAAAATTTCGAAAAATTGAAAAACCTTATTTTAGCAATGTTTTGAATGAGAAAAGTCGCTTTTAGGTTCGCTGATTACTAAATGGTACTTTATTTCCTGATCGGACACAAATTGCAAGAGCTATAGCCATCGGAATGAGCCAAAGTGTGGAAATTGGGAAAACCCACAATATTGTAGGGGAACCCCTTGGAAAAATTTCGAAAAATTTGAAAACCTTATTTTAGCAATGTTTTGAATGAGAAAAGTCGCTTTTAGGTTCGCTGATTACTAAATGGTACTTTATTTCCTGATCGGACACAAATTGCAAGAGCTATAGCCATCGGAATGAGCCAAAGTGTGGAAATTGGGAAAACCCACAATATTGTAGGGGAACCCCTTGGAAAAATTTCGAAAAATTTGAAAACCTTATTTTAGCAATGTTTTGAATGAGAAAAGTCGCTCTTGGGTTCGCTGATTACTAAATGGTACTTTATTTCCCGATCGGACACAAATTGCCAGAGCTATGGCCATCGGAAGGAGCAAAAGTGTGGAAATTGGGAAAACCCACAATATTGTAGGGGAACCCCTTGGAAAAATTTCGAAAAATTTGAAAACCTTATTTTAGCAATGTTTTGAATGAGAAAAGTCGCTCTTGGGTTCGCTGATTACTAAATGGTACTTTATTTCCTGATCGGACACAAATTGCCAGAGCTATGGCCATCGGAAGGAGCAAGAGTGTGGAAATTGGGAAAACTCACAATATTGTAGGGGAACCCCTTGGAAAAATTTCGAAAATTTTAAAAACCTTATTTTAGCAATGTTTTGAATGAGAAAAGTCGCTCTTGGGTTCGCTGATTACTAAATGGTACTTTATTTCCTGATCGGACACAAATTGCCAGAGCTATGGCCATCGGAAGGAGCCAAAGTGTGGAAATTGGGAAAACCCACAATATTGTAGGGGAACCCCTTGGAAAAATTTCGAAAAATTTGAAAACCTTATTTTAGCAATGTTTTGAATGAGAAAAGTCGCTCTTGGGTTCGCTGATTACTAAATGGTACTTTATTTCCTGATCGGACACAAATTGCCAGAGCTATGGCCATCGGAAGGAGCAAAAGTATGGAAATTGGGAAAACCCACAATATTGTAGGGGAACCCCTTGGAAAAATTTCGAAAAATTTGAAAACCTTATTTTAGCAATGTTTTGAATGAGAAAAGTCGCTCTTGGGTTCGCTGATTACTAAATGGTACTTTATTTCCTGATCGGACACAAATTGCCAGAGCTATGGCCATCGGAAGGAGCAAAAGTATGGAAATTGGGAAAACCCACAATATTGTAGGGGAACCCCTTGGAAAAATTTCGAAAAATTTAAAAACGATTTTTAAGGAATATTTTGAATGAGAAAAGTTGCTTTTGGGTTCGCTGAGTCTCCATTCCAAATCCTATAGCTCTATATCTTATAGTCTCTGAAATCCACGCGATCATACGGACAGACGGAGAGATGGACATGGCTATATCGACTTGGCTGAGATGAAACTTGGCTATATCGACTAGAGATGAAAAACTTGCTGAAACTTGAGGATACTTGTTTTCTCATGATATTGTTTATCATATGATCATGTCATATTATATTGTCGTATTATCATCATAATATACCATAATTTTTATCATATTTCATTAATATTTGTGTGATACATTGAATAATATTCTATCCAACATTTATTTTATATATAATATTATATATATATATATTTTAAGGGCATTGGGAATCTGTGTAGAAATTTATATTCCCTTTTCAATTCGAATGTTTGGCTGGACTCTTTGCTTTTCATTGCGGCTCATTGGGCAAAGCACGCTTTAAGCGTGTTTTTGATTGTTGGCATTATTTTGGGGTCCATTACCCCCCTTTTTAGCGACCCACTCTCTGTCCGACCACGCAGTAATCCGGGTACTTCTCTCCATTTGTGCATGTTGCATACTTTTCAGCGCAAGTGAATCTGAAACTCGCTCGTCCTGGACTCCGGGCTCTGGATTCAGGAGTATGGAGTGGGGATTCTGGATTTTGGATTCTGGATCCGCTCCGGTGTGTGTCAAAGCATATTTGCCGATTGGCTGCCCTTTGTGCTGGGCACACTCCAAATGCCAGGGGCGTTGGGTTTGTGTTTTCGAAGGGGGGTTCGGACTCTGGCTTTGTATGCCCAAAACACAAATCAGGGAGAAAACGAGTTTAGGGACGCAATTAAAACATCATTAAAGGACTTGCTGTATATGGTTGGGATTTTGATTCTATATAGAGAGTTTTTAAAAAAGGATAATTTTGAGAATATTGTTATAGGTTTCATGGGAATTTTTTTAAAAAAGCTTTTACTTAGAACGTTTTTTACTTTGATTTTAATGCATTGCTATTTTGCTTCCCCTTGACTTTATTTATTTTGTGACTTTAAAACATTCTTATTTACAAATACTCTTAACACTCCTTCTCCGGACTTGGCTCATCTCAATATATATGTATACATATCTATTTTTTCTGACCATTTTCTCTTCCAAGGGCCAGTGCCATTTTCATTTGCCATTTGGCATTTCCCTTTCGGTCTTTGGGCCATTCCGGCGTAGGCCACAACAAACGCTTCAATCAAGTGCCGGACAATGGGGAACCTGAACCGAAAAACCCGAAAACATTTGGCCCCAGTGTAATGCCTCCATTTGGCCCACACACCCACCCCTCAACCATGATGTTCCTTTTATTTTTTTCTCTTCATTTTAGCCCACAATGCCAACGTTAATTTTCACTCGCCCTGTTTTCTGACCCCAAATGGATCGTTGATTTGGCGCATTTGGTTTTGGCCAACAATTTTTTTGGGGGCTCTATTTTTTTGGCCACTATTTTATATATTTTTTGTTTAGGAATTCGAGGGAGACCGACAAAAAACTTAATTCTGTGCAGTTTCCGAGGGTTAAGTAATTTGGTTTTTTTTTCTAGAAATGATAGGATATATACATAAAAAAAGAGTACTTCCTTTCATATTGAAATGCTCAATTTACCCTTATTTTTGTCTTATAATTATTTACATATTTCTTAACCCGATTATTACCAAACTATCTTATTAACCATATCATCATTAAAGCTTTAGCAGATCCACTCAAGTTAAAAAAGAAATTTGCCGAAATTCCTCAAATTTAATTGAACAAAAGTTGCCTTGAATAATTCGATAATTGATTGGAATTAATTGCCAACTTTTTGCATACTTCATTCCGGCATTTCCCCTCCATTATCGAGAGGCAATGGCCAAAAACAAATTAAAAGCCCCAAATATCGTTAGCCGCAGGCATCATTAAATATCTGCAAAAAGTATCTGAAATTGACATTTGCCTTGTCCCGTAAGCCAAATACACAAATGAAGCCTAATCATCGTCATGTAATTTTCTTTTTATTTAAATCTTGAATCTCTTGACTTGGGCTTTTCCTAGACTTTGAAAACAAAGACCCATTCATAATATATTCAATCGAATTGAAGCAATTATTTTATTTGGCTCGGCATTTCGAATTTACAGCATTTGGCACTTGCGACTTGCTTTGCGGAATTTCATTAGTCAAAGTCAAAGCCAAAGTGTGTTTTATCGATTTTTGACTAATTTCATTAGGGCAGGCCATGGCGCTCGCCTCCCCTAAGGACCTCTGGAACCCACACGACCCTCCGGCCTGGCTACACATATTTTTGGGCAATTTGACAAATTTCGGAGCCCGCTGGCATAACTAATGGAATCCGATCTGCCATAATTTAAGAAATCTTGATAGCTAAGTGCTATACTAATAACTCTGAGCTTCTGTGTGCAGTTTACACTGAAATAAAATAATAAGTCATGGCTGTGATGCATATTTAAAGCGAATCTAAGCACAAAGCGACTCTTCTTGAGCATCAGATGAGAATAGGAAAAGATATAGACCTTGCTAGGGGGATGTAGCCAAATGACCCAGATTTATGGGAAGTAGATCCAAAGTAATTATTGGTATTCCGCTTAAAAATCTGAAGAAAATTGATATATATGTATATAAAAATATAGAAATTTCTGGGGGCATATAGGAAAATCCAGGATTTGAAAGGGGTTCTAAAATATTGCCCCACAAAAATAAAAGATTCTTTTATCTTCTATCTACCTAAAGATTAATTTAATTTTTAATTTTTATTTATGTTTATTATTAAAGTTGTATCTAATTATCTTAGCCTGGTCTTCAAGAAGTATTTTTGAATTTAAGACGAATGGAAGGAATGCATTAAATTCTCTTCAATTCCGTCCGAATGGGCGGTAAATTGGGGGCGTGGCCATGGCTGTTTTCAAGGCAAGACCCGCTTATCATAAATGACAAATCTGGAAGTGAATGCGAATGGTAAACGACGAACAACTAAAATGGGCCAAAAGGAGTCAGACACTCGACTCGGCAAGGTCCTTCCTGGCCGATTCCAATTTCGTTTCGTTTTGGCAATTCCGGGAGGAGTGGCTGGCGTCCCAATTTAGCTGCATTTTGGTGTAAATGTAAATGTAAATGTAAACGAAATAATCGCCCGGCTCCATCTTGGCATTAGATTGGGTGTATTTGAAGTGAGGGTGGTGCTTCCAAAAGGAAAACACAGGAGCTGCCAATGTAAACGGGTGGGCTTTAAGGAGAGTTGCAAACCGAACCGAACGGAAGGTTGCCTGTTTGTTTGCCTGTTTCGGGGTATTAAGGTCTCTGGTCTAATGGCTGTAATACCCTCCAGTTTCTGCTCCGATCAATGACTTGTTATTGCAACATTTGCCGGCGATTAAATACCGGCTTTTCCTCAAAACAGACCAGCATCTATTGTTGCTTGAATATTCTATAAAAATAAATAAATACTTCCTAGGGGGATTGCAACTTATGGTCTATATAGGGGTTATTTTAAAACTAGATGTCTTTTTCTTTAGTGCTTAATTTAAGAAATATTTTTGAACTCATACGATAGAGAAAGGCCATAATGCTCTTAATTCTCTTAGCTTTTATAAAATATATCTTATAGTATTTATTTTTGTAGATTTCTAGGTTGTTATGGCTTTTATATTGTTAAATAATTGAATAAAATAAAATTTTTGAAGATATTTTAAAATCGTAACTGCGTCTAACCCTTTAGGTAAAGAAAGATTTTTGAGCTTATCAGATAGAGAAAAGATTAAGGATATTAGTAACTGTAGAAAAGCAATAGTATAATACCCAATACTCTCAAGAAACATTAAACTGAATATATCATATTATCATGAATGGATCATGTATTATTATTACAATTTATTTAAAAACTAATTTAATTTCTCAAACTCAAGCCAGATGATTAGAATTCTTGCAATTTTGATAAACTGATCGTTTTTTATCGGTCGGGGATGATGGATTTTTTTTGCCGGTTCTTCCAGATATGGAGTCCTCCTCGTCCCAATACCCACAGACCAGTGTATAGTTTCTGTCCTTTTTGGTGAGGAAACCGTGCATCCAGGCAGCGGTCACTGTATTGTCCACCGCCAGACGTACCTCCTCGACGGACTTGGCCTCCATTTCGGCCACATAGGTAGCCACCTCGTCTATGGCCATCGGTCGGTGGAAGACATTGAAGGCTTCGAGGATGTGATCGGCATACAAATAGCGTGACATGCCGATGGATACGGATCTTTATCTATATCCTCTACAGAGTTACAGGTCCTAGATATAGAAAAAATGTGCCTGTTTTGAAAAGGCTTAGGTTGCACAAATTTTGATTGATTTTAGATAGTATACTGGATTTTATTTAAATGTACATATAATAATACTTAAAACTTTTTTATGAGGCTTATATCTTTAAGACCTTAATGTTTTTTTAAAGGTTTCTTAAAGTACCAAGTATATGTCGACATTCTTAACATTTAAAGAATTATACAGACTTTTTCTTTTCAATACTTTTGAATAATATATGATTTTCAACTTACTTAAAATTCTATATTTCTATATCCCTTCTTGTTGTAGCTATACATTTTTATCAAACTTAATTAGCCTGGCTTTTAAAATATACTTTTTGCATTGATATCTTGTTATTGGCAGTTGTGTAATTTCCTTTCTTTTGCCGACATGCCAGTTTTCCGCACATTTCCCAGCAGCTGGGACCCTCCTATTTGGTCGGTGTCACTTCGATGTCCTTTCCTCTGAGCGACACTTGTCCAACAAGTCCAGCAAACAAGTCCTGGCCGCTTGTTAATGTCCCGGCTCCGGGCTACTTGCCTTCTGGCTAAGTGACCGCACAGGGAACCGTTTGACGGTGACCCAGTTGGTATTGATTTCAGTCCCTAACCTTCCAGTTCCTACCTCATCCCCTCATCCTCGTCCTCGTCCTTTCGTCCTTTGAACAAAGCGCAAAACCGTTGGCTTTTATTGTTTGGTCGTCGGCCGGAGAATTCCCCAAAGTCAGGCGATGGCGACTCCGATAAGCTCGCACCTATGCAGCCCCAAATTGGGCTTCCGGCTACACTGAGAGAAATATGTATTCTACTTCAAACTAAATTTATTAAATATAATAATAATTTTTTAACAAACAAATCTATAACTAATTGTATATATTATTATTTTAGCTTAGGATAGTTCCGAATATTCCTTTCTAACCATTTCATTTACTTTTAAAACACCTTTTTTTAAATTTAAAATATTTTTAATATATTTTTTTAAATTATATATAACTATTATATATTTTTTCTTCAAGTGCAAGTGTGTTTCCGAGCGTTGCGGTTAAATAGGAACTGCGCCAACTTATAACGCAGCCAAGTTCCACTTCCGTTTTCGCTTCCGTCGCTGCCCAGTATGCTGCCCCGGCCCCTTCCCATCCAGCCCCCTATCAGGACACATATTCGCCATCCCCTGGCCGTTTCTTTTCGTCCTTTTGCGTCCTTTTCGTGTCCTGCCCTTTGGCATTCGCCGAAACTATTAAATCACATTTTACGAGCGTTAAGTGCACAATTAAAAGCATTTCGTTAATGTGGAAAATGTGGCGCTGTCTTGGCTCGGACTCGATGGCATCGCCCCCTTGGTTTTTGCCACCAAGCCGACCAACCCTCCAACCCCACGCCCTTCCAAAAGTCGACTGGCATTGTGATGTAATTAAATTTTCAGCTGCCAGGCCGCGCATTGCTTTGCGTGCACCTTGGGGCCACTTCTTCTGGATTCTGGATTTCGGATTTTCCCCCACTTATACAGGGGTGAGGGGAGACCGGGAGGATGGCCAAAGGATGCCATAGCCATTATCCTGGGTCTCCTGTGTGTCCTTGCTGCAAGAAAAACAAACTAAATCGATTATGGTTTGATGTAAATTTCCTTTTCGGGGAGCCATTAGAAAGTTGTCCTGGGGCCGAAGTCGGAGATTGGTGTTTAATCTCAGCTTTTAAGCTGGAAATCTGTTGATTGCATAAACTTTAAACTAATTTTATTTATTTGCTGTCGGCCAAGTAAGGAACAAAGTCCATAAATTAAGTTTTTTTTAAGTTTCTTGTGTAATTAAAAACTTGAGGCGCCAGATGAAGGTTCTTCGAGTTTTTATTAAAAGGTTTTTCTAATTTAAGTGTAAAATTATACTATAAATATTGGTTTATTGATTTAATTCAATTTATAACTGAAAGAAACTTTTACCTTTTGGTATTTATTTTATTTAAATATTATAACTTTATAATAACATACATAAGAGTATATCTTAAAATAGGCTTTAAGATGGTAGTTCCAAAGTCTAAATGTAAGTATTTTCTGATAGTTCGTTTTATATTAAATGTATATATGTATATACAGACCAAATTTAGTCAAGATATAGTTGAAGAATCATAAGGGTTAATTTAGGTAATAGGTAATTCTTCACTGGTAACTTACCTTATCAAGAGGTGGTTTTATTTCACACCAGATATGCAAGTATCTATGATAACTCTATGCAAGTAATATAATATTAAAATATATAATTATAAATTATGGTTTTATATTGACCCTAAAATTCGAAATTTATTTAAATATAACTCTAAAAAAGAAAAAAAATATTGCTTAATATTAATATATTTCTTTAATAAATAATAGCATCAGTTTCATAGTCTAAATAGCTTCAAAACTGTGATTCGTTAGTGATACCGACTTTGTACTTAATAAAAGAACATAATATTTTATATTAGATTTATATCTTATATAATATTTGTATTAATTTAAAAGTTTTTTAATAAATTATAAGCAAATTATAAACTTTCAACCACAATTTCGGTAAACTTTTCTCACAAATCGGAAACTTAAAGTTAACAGGATTTTCCGTTGACAGCCGAACTACTTCCTGCCTACTGCCCTTGCTCCCCCAAGCGCCACACCACCCTACCTCCGTAAAGCCCCTCTTTAGCCCCCCACTAGACCACCCACCCCCCAATCCCCGCCAGCTTCATTAAGAGTAAAACGCAAACTAAGTAAGTAATCTGAGCCTTAGTAGGCGTGTGAAGTGCACACTTGACGTAGGGGGTGGCCGGTGAGTGGTCGGGTGGTGGGTGGTGGGTAGTGGGTAGTGGGTGGGCGGAATGCATGTCACTTACACTACTTCAGCACAGGAAGCTACCACCAGCTACCCCCCACCTGCCACCCATTCCCCCTGCATCCTTCACGCATATTCGCCTAAGTGCGGAAGCATGTTCAAGTGTGTTGGAAATGGAAAGCAATGTGTTACTTTTTTTTTTCGTCCTTCCTGCATTTATATTTTGATTTTTCAGGTTTTTTTTTTCGCTTTGCTCATCACCCGCAATGACGTCACGCCCGCTTAGCCGAGGGGCGTGGCCGATGCGCGGGCGGATGACATTTGATTTGGCCAAAAGAAACGCAAAAAAAAAACAGGTGAATAGAGAGCGGAAAAGAAACACGGAGCAGCGGAACAGGTGAAAGGAAGCTCGGAAAAAGGAAAAGGACATCTCAAGATTTTGACACAGAACGAAAGTGGATTGAAAACAATGGAAGAAAATTATCGGAATCTATTAAATATCTACTAATCTATTAAATATCTATTATTAGATCCATATATCTATTCTATTAAATATTTTAAATATTTTGTAATAATAATTTGTACTAGAAATCTAAAAAATAATAATGTATTTCAGTTATAAAATGTACAAAATTACAATAATGTATTTAAAGTTATATATACATAATTATTTAAATAATAAAATAACAATTACTTTAGTTATCACTGGAATTCGTCACCTAACAGAAACAAATATATGCTATCTTAAATCTCTTTAAGCTTCTAAGCAGAATTAAAATGTAAACTAATATTGCAGATGCAAATACGATTGTATTTAAATCAATATTATAGGTAGAATTCGTCACCTTCGGTAAAAAATATATGTATTTTTTTATAATAAAAATGATTTTTAAAAAATATCCTGCAATAAATATTTGATTTATGTAATTCAAAAGTCAACCCTCGCTGCATATTTGCAATAGAGTCATCGCCTTGGGTTTCGTCCTTTTTGCCTGTTTCGCGTTTTTTCTTTTTTTTTTTTGCGAATATGGCAGCGCTTCCGGCGCTGGCCTGATGGCCCGCTGTGTCCTTTGATATTCGAGGAAAAGGACACCGGGTGCCCTGTGAGACGGGGAGGCGTGGCAAGAGCTTTAAGGCGCAACATTTAGTTTGTTGCATGTTTGGACATGTTGCTTGCTGTTCACTGTACGTGACATTTTGCGGAAATGGAGCCCAGCGAGCAAGGATATGAAAAAAGGATACGAAAAGGGACAAACAGGATCCCCAGGATGCAAGAATGGCAAGAGGATGGCGCATGCTTTGTGCCAGCGATTTCTTATAATTTGCATTGAAGTTTTGATTGCCACAAAGGGAGTATCCTAGCAGATGCACTTCATATTCCAAACGAAAACAATTTCCAAAGGAAGCACCAAGGCTATTCCTGAAACGTCACTAAAAATGCACTAAACTTTTAGCTATTCAATTTTACTTATGCGATAATCTGCCGGCACTATCCTTATATGGACCTTCCCCCGGTAAAAGTTTCGACAACTCAAATTCAAGGTCTTTTTGGCCACGCAGGACATCGCTTCCATTAACCTCTCGGCCAGGATAACAGCAGCAGCAGCGGCAGCAGCATAAAAGCAAATTAAAGTTCGCCCCTGCCGGACATCATCAAAAGGTAAGTTTATGTGCAATCACGGACTACCATAAACCTTCCAAGTAATGGAGGCCTTGGGTGCCTAAAACCCCAGATGAGTTAGAGGCCAGGGGCGGGATCAAAAGCTGGCAGGAGGGGTGCGGCAACCGTAACTGAGTGTATGATTTTAATCGAAGGGATCAGGAGGCACACGACCAGGCCAACCTGTACCGGTAAATCAGAGATGCTCACAGTACTTCGAGAAGGTTTTGAGAAGTATTTTGAGCAGAATTTCATTCCCTGTAAAATAATTTTTTTTGTAAATATTTTTTAAGAAGAAAATCTTAAAAGTTTGCTATACTTCTGCGTATTTATTTAAGATACTCTTACTTACCTCAAAAACCATTAGCATCCCAGCTAGATTGCGACTTTCCCGCATTTTCTTTTGTAAATAAGGGAATCTTAAATAAAAAGTAGAATTGTGAATATAAAAAGGAAAACTAACATTTGGAATATATTTGGTATAAAAGATGTATCCCTAACATGATTTAATATTCTCAAAAAGATAATAATCATAGCCAGAGATAGATTCCCATACTAAAAACTATACATTTTTTTTTTCAATTACCTTATTCCTTTT